AGTATCACCACTCACCACTGGTCCTGTAGGGAATCATCCGCCCTGGGTTCCCTGTATTTCCAGTTCCTATCTGTACCAGTGTACATCCTCTGGTCTAGCCAGACTTGCTAGGTAGAATTCTTAATACCATGAGTTTTCTATTTATTAAGTCATATTACCTTCAGACGGTAGTATTTTATATGTTACCAAAATTTATAATTTTTATATCTTTTCAAGATTTCTGAGAATGGTGTTGTTAGCCCACTTTGCTTTGTTAGGAGCCATAGTGGCATAGTGATCGTGTGTTGGGCTGCTAACCACAAAGTCAGCAGTTCAAAACCACCAGCTGCTCCTGGGAAGAAAAGAGAGACTTGCTACCTCTGTAAAGAATACAGACTTGAAAACCCACAGGGGTTTTATAGGGTTTACAGGGGTTTTATAGCGTTTCTGTGAGTCGGCATTGACATAGTGGCAGTGAGTCTCTTAAATTTGAAAGCTTTAAAATTTAAAATTGTATCATTGTGTATGATGTTAATTTTTAATCTTAGTACAAGTCCTTTTTGATTAAATTAAGGAAAACATTTTGTGGTTTTGTAGTTTCAAAAGTGATTGCTGAATTTACTAGATCACTTTAAAAATCAGAATTTGTCTAGTCTAGGGAGTTATCCTTTATAGTCTAGTCTAGGGGTCTATCCCCTTAGACAGAGTGGGGAACTTTTTTTTCTGCCAAGGGCATTTGAATATTTATAACATCATTCAGGGGCCATACAAAACTATCTACTTAAAAAATTAGCCTGCTTTGTTTCATCAAGCATTTAATTAGTTCACCTCTGAAGTAATTACTGGACTTGCTTCTCTTTGGTGAGGTATGTGATGTTAGCTGATATTGATAATTTCTACAGCCTGTGGGCTGGTATTTCCCCACCCTGCCTTAGACTAAGTAAGATTTATAGGGGCATTAAAAAGTCCATGGAGCAATTCCAGTATCTTTTAATTATATTTTTCCATAAACCCTTTGAAACCCCTTTGTTTTACATTATTAAAATTTTGTTAAAATTTTATTTTAAACTTTTTTATTTGTGTTTATTAGTGAGTCTGACTTAAAGGATATGTCTTTACACTTTCATGCCTGTGTGCAATTGTACCCATTCAAGATATCTTTTAAAAAGCAAGTT